TGTAAAATAGTTTTTTTATATGTTGCACACCGGGTGAAAAGTCAGTCGTGTAACATCGACGGTCGCTCCTGTAACGTTACTTCAGTATATACTGTACTGTGCTCATATTTAATGTTAGTACAGTATACTTTTTTTTTTATATAAAGGTAAAGCGTACTGTATCGTATTAAATAGAAAATAGTACAGTACACCACTTTAAATTTTTGTTCAAACTTGCTATAGAATCTAGTGATGGGACTAGAGATAGGTTTATGCATGTGGGCATGTTTTGGAATTATGCGCATTTTATCCCATCTAAATTTTATATAGGAAGAAAAAAAAAAATTCAAAAAATCAGGTTAAAAAATAAGAGAAAGACAAATTTAAAAAAAATTGGCTTAGGAAAAAAAAAAAAAAAAAAAAAAAAAAAGTAAATTTTCAAAAAATGCGGGTTTAAAAGAGAGAAAAAAAATATATAAAAATTAGCTTAGAAAAAAAAAAAATAAAAAACTTAAAAAAAAAAGACCTCTATTTTTCCGATATGATGATCCTTCTTACTCAACCTATTTATCATCAGAATTCTGTTTATTGCTAGAATCTTGTTTGTTATCAAAACTCTGTCTGTTACTAGAACCCTTTTCATTATCAAAACCCTGTTCATTGCTGAAATTTTGGTCATTATCAAAATCCTGTTCATTGCTAAAATTCTGGTCACTATCAAAATCATTAATATGTTGATTTGTATCAAACAAGCTATCTCACTCATCATAATTTGGTAAGCCATTTTGGTTAGTTCATATATACATACGAGAAGAGAATGTATAATAGTTTATTTAATTTGTGTAATCGATCATATAATATAAGCAGTGATTGGATTCTAATTGTTGCACTATTATAAGCGATATACTGTACTATATCATTTCGAAATTTTATACAATACAGTACTAAATTATTTTTTATATAGAACTATATATATGTATTTTCATACTGTATCATTTCAAAATTTTATAAAATACAGTATTAAATTATTTTTAGTACAGTATACTATATATGTATATTCGTATCGGAGCAGCTTTTTGTCTCGAATTGGCCATGAGTTGATTGTCTGATATTATTGTATGATATTGTTATGAGCTTATTCCTGATTCATTGTGTGATCTGAAATTGACGTTTTTTTTTTTTTTTTTGTGATTAGTAATATTTAAGGGAAATGGAGTTTTTCCTAAGAAAGGTATTTCTGTTTTTTCTGCTAACTTGACTTTGTCTTTTTTTGCTCTATTCTACCTGGTCCTAGTGATGTTCATTGAAGCTTGGTCTATCGAAGATGATAACTATTGAAGCTTTTTGGGCAGAAGGTAGCCTGTCAGAACAACAGTCTCATTTAGAGTTTTGTAGGTAGTTTGTTAAGACGACAGTCATATTTTAAATATAAGTTTTAGTAAAAAGTGGCTTGTCGGGGTAGGAAGTAGCCTGTCAAAACGACAGTTACAAGGTTTCCTTTTGGTTGCAGCGGGATTTTTTCAAAAAAATTCTAGTTTTTTTTGCCCCGCTTGCCAAAGTTGCCCTAGTAGCATATATACATAATAGTATAGTAAATAGAAATATAGGCTGTTCTTATGATACTCTTTAATTCTGCACTTTTAGTATATATATTGAGTACAAAAGTGGAAGGGACAGATAATCATAGTTGTTTTTCTTTGTTTTTTCTTTTCTTTTCTTGTTTTGTTTTTCAGTTTATAACACCTGTCAATGAGTGACAAAATAAAACTTGCATACTAATTATCTGGATATTTGAGCGATCTGAATTATCCAGATAATTCAGATATGGAGATGAATTTATCCGAATTGGAACTCTACTAACCATAAAGAGATTTTGGAATACAAACTTCTCATCTGTAAAGAGCTATTAGAATAATTATTTTGCTTTATTTACTGTATTTACTGTAATTATTATTATACTAATGATTTGCTAAAACTCACATGATTGTTATTTTTTTTTTAGGAAGTTTTAGAAATGCAGATTATTCACCTTTATCTTGCAGAGTATGGTATGGAGATGTTAAAATCTAACCCATTGTTTAATAACAAGTCTGGCATCTGGTAATAATAATAAAATTAAATTAAATATTGTATATTTAAAAAAAAAATTTTTCTACTAGCTTCAAAATTTGCAACTTTGATTGGTTGATCAATGATTTTTCTGGATTAAATTCAAATCAATTCGAATTTACTCAATTCGAATTATAACTGGATTCATGAAAGAAAATCTGAATTCAATCTGAATAGTCCTGAAAAAATAGGATCAAAGCTCTAGTTAAAATACATAGCAAATACATACTACAAAGTAATTTTCTTTCTATTTTCATGTGATTTTCAAGGCAAAGACTCTATATGTTCAGTCTAATATATCTAATAATTCTAAAAAATATAAAAAAATTTTTTTGATAAAAATGTAACCTAACAAAAAGTTTTCTTTAAGCGATTTTACTATATATTTTACTAATTTCTAGCTCTAATATAAATGCTAACCTTAACTTTGACGAACTTATTTTATCTTCATCACATGATTATAACTTTCTCGATGTGATACTGTGAAGATTTTTGATTGACTATTTTTTACATGATTTATATATTATACAATGCCCAATGTCTAATACTTTTGGTCCAATGGACTGGATATTGCAACACTGTGTATAGTAATAAGTTTTAGCTAATAGATCGATAATACAGTGTATACTAATTAGTTGTCTAAATCCAAAGCCTTATTCTAGTATTCCACAAAATGGATTCGAGATTCTGATTCGATCCGCAAATCTATTTTGAATCCCATAATTTGCAAATCCAGCAAATCCGAGATTCAATTGAATAATATTCAATTCAGATTCATTATTATTGCAATCTTTCTTTTTTTGAAATTTTATTGATCCTTTTTTTTTTTTTTTTGAAAAGCATATTAAATATTACAATAGTGCCAGATATCGAACTTCATTGAATAAATGAATATGCAGCATATTAATAGGATTGTGCGTGGGTTAAGAAGATTCAGGTGCAAATCTTGCTTCTTGTGAACTATAGTACATTTATTTCTTACTGTTATGATTAATACGTAATTAGATCAAGTTCCAATTAAGCAGTTATTAAATATACTTACTGTATAAGCGCGAAGTGATGCTCATAGGCATTATTTTGAAAATTGGATGCTTCAAAAATATTTAAATGGAAAATACATGGAATTCATATATGGAGGAGTTATGGAAAAATTAAGTTTAATTTTTTTTACAGGGATTAGAGTAAGGGTGAATTTGAAATTAAGGTAGAGAGTAGTTTATACCAAAATTTTGCAGAGAATTTTTTTTTTAATATTCAAAAGGTGGTTTCATAAGCAAAATCTTGAGTTATAAATGATTTTTTAAAGAAAGCAATAATTTTGCATTATACCTGATTGTGTAATCTGATTGGCTCTCTATAATACCTATGTATATAGAAATTGCCTATAAAAATTTTTTAAAAAATTTTTATTAAATTGGTCAAGGTTTTGTTAAGTTATTCATGTTTAAAATTATTTTATTATAAAAAACTTGCTTGATTTTTATTAAATTATAACTTTATTTTGTATTATTACGGTGTTGACCGGTTTATTATAAAACAAAATCTAGTGTAAATGTTTATTTGTATGTAAAAAAGTGTGGCTTCATTATGAAGTATTACAGTACTAAAAATTAAATAATGCTTTTTTTTTTAGGAAGAACGATTGTCATTTAGTTCTGCTTTGCTTTCCAATGCAGTTTGTTATCTTTTTCTTGTATGTCATTCAATAGTAGATATCTCAGTCTCAATCAACTTTTTCTGTATTTGAAAACCAGATTACCAGTAGATAATTATTAGCAAATTACTATAAATAAAAACTTCTTAACCTATTTCAAACAATTTAAGTATGCAATATGCATCTTTCAATATGTTACAACAATCATTATCAATAGGTCAATAGGTATCCTGCATGTATCTAGTAATCCAAATTTGTATACACCAGATCCTATCCAATCTATCGCGTAAAGTTTAGCACTGGCCTAAAATAAAAACTGTTAGTAAGGATAATATAAAAATTTTATTTTATTAATATATTAACCTACCAAATTGAAGTCAGCCATTGACTATAACATCTAATCTTTCTTCGTTGAACACATAGTCACACTCTTTTAATAGGCAATTAATACTATCTTTCATGATTACTATTAATTTTGCTTTGTCTAGAAATCGCTTCTGTGACAAGCAGTAGAAACTCCAAATAATCCTAATTTACCTGTAACCTCTTCAAAGATTGCCTCAAATTTATTTGGCATTTTTAATAATGTTACCTTTATATCAACTTTTCTGCCTATTTGTGCTTATTTTTGTCGATTTTTTTCAAAATCATATCTTCGTTTGAATCATTAAATAAAAATACTAATCCATCATAACCTGGTAATTCGCCATCATCATCTAGTTTTCTTTTAAGATTATTTTCTGTAAATTTGTTATCACCATACACTTGATTAGAGTCCTTCCAGAGAAATATAGAAAATATATTAAATTGACGATTCTACAAATGATAATACTATATTAGAATTAATAATACCGATATTGCATCATCATCTTTTATATTGATTGTATAAGAAGTTTCTTCATCTTTCTTGTTATGCGTCTCTAATGCACTGTTCATGATTTCATTTGCTTGCATCATATAACCATTTGCCATTTTGCTTTTTACTACTGAACCACTTGAAATTGTTATAAGTGGGCCTGGAAATTCTGCTCGCAAGCTTGCTTTATTTTTCCAAATTCTTTAGTACTATTGAATTCAATTATATCCTTCACAAATTCACGATTTCCTTTGAAACATTTTTCTGCATTTCAGACTGGTAGTCTACATGTCAAAAATTTCATTAAATGTTTTTTGGCGCGTCTGCAAAATATAATAGAAACTTTGAAATGACCATTGTTGAGCATTTGTGTCCATGAAGAAACTTCTTTTCTTGTGCTTGAAGAGATATGTTTTAAAGTTAGAATTAACTACCGGATGTGTCATGTTTGGAAAATAAAAATAAAATTTTATAGAGGTGTGGCGACTTAGTAAAGTGGTCTAGTTGTCACCCTCACCAAACGTTATGGGAAGATCCCATGTTCGAATCCCAGGGACGGCGCTTTTGTAA